CAGCAACGGCGACGAAAACAAAATTACGAAGTAGACTGGACATAAACCACACACTTGCGGTGTCATTGTCTCTCCTATTACCCCGAGATGGGACCGTCTGGTTGCAGAAAATCAAGCTCGGTGCTGTGGTGAGTCGTCATTTTCATGCACTTTGAATTTGCGTTGTATCGTATTTTGAAGGCATTAAACATTGCCATAGCGATTGGAGTGTTGCGGCCAGATTAGACGCTCCTTGTGTTTATTATTATATTTCGAAAACACCACAGTTTTCATGCAGCTCATACCATATTATTTTGTTGTATTATTTCCGCCACACCTTAAATGCCGGTCCCTGAAAATATTGTCTGACATAAACCGGTCCGTGGGGCAAAAAAGGTTGGGGACCCCTGATCTACTCAGCCTCTGGTGGCAATCGAATCCGCCCTCCACCCCACCACGCAGCAGAAGACGCGTCATCGTCCTTCTCGCCGATGTCAGTCAGCGTCCGGGAATCAATTCTCGCTTCACGAGCGTGAGCCGCGGACTGGACCCGCAAGCACAGCGGAACCGTTCCTCGTGACTTTTGCTTCCAAAAGCCAGCCGACACCTCGGTGGAGGGAAACACTAAAAAATGAATGCGAGAGAGTGGCGACGCGGGGGCTTGCCGTCGATCGCGCGAAAGAAAGCGAGCCCGAAATGGAAAACGGTGTCAAGAGGCCGAGGTGACGACGGAGGCGAAGGTGCCACTGCGGCTTTTAGACAATGGCAAGAGAGGAGGCGTGCGAGCGTTGATGGATCTGCCCGCTGAGGCGGCGCGCGCCGCGAGGTGCGAAAACAAATCCGAGCCAATCCTCCCCGGGACCAAGCGCGTCAATCTCTTACCTCGGCCGAGAGCCTAAATGGGTCTCGGTCGCCGCCGCTCGCTCCGCCAATTTCGAGCTCGAAGAGGCCGCGACACCTCGGCGGAGACGCCTTCTGCCTTTTTTTTTCACGGCGCGCTCCCCCAAGTCGCGCTTGAAAGCGGGAGGCGAACATTAGCCATGCACGCGCCGCCGCCTTTGCTCGCTTCGGGCCTCGCACGCAACAAGTGCGTTTGAAATGCTTCCCCGACGCAATGGGAAATGGGACGACACCCCACCCCCCCACACCAGGGCGGAACACTTCATCCGCATCAAATCTGCCAAATATGCCATTTTCAAAAGGGCGGCTCGGTTGTCGACTTTAGTTTTGGCTTATCCGCGATAGTTTGCGTCGGTGCGGAGTTCACAGGTGGCGTCCGCGTTTTTTCCACAACGTTTTGGATCACAAAGCCACGCGCAGTCTTTTTATCTTCTGCGATATTGTCGAAACGTACAACTTTCTGAATTGGCTTTGCGCCACATGCACTCGCTTTGTCAAGTAAATAATTTTTACTCTCATTATTATTATTTTTATTTTTTATTTTTTTGGGGGGGGGGGAGGTTGAGTTGGCGCAACCAGAACGAAAGCATTTGAATGCGCCTTCCCCGTCGGCGTCCTCTCCAATTCGGCGGAGAATGCTTGACCCACAAATCTGGTGCAGGTGTTGGGGCTGAACAGGGGACCCCAATCTTGGAGCCAAGTCCGACCCATATGTTACTTGTGTAAGCTTATGTTATATTATTAATGATCGTTTTATGTTTGAGCATCATATTATTTCATGTTTAAAATACCAAAATTATATTCTGTTGCTTCATAATTGCTTCGACGTGTTTTTATGTTGCTAGATTCTGATTGGCTGTTGAAGTAAGCGAAGCAGGAAGTGATTTTAGTGACGAGGAGTGTCGTGTTCTCGAACGTGCTGCGGGGCAAACGTCTTTTTTTTAAATAAAAGTCTTTTAATAAAACTGCATTTAAAGGATTCCATCTCTCCTTTTGCCGTTCATAAAGTAGAGCTATCCACTAAAAACAACGAACCCCTCAACTTACACTTGCCACGCACCGCTGCGGCGTGATCGCCAGCCGCCAACATTTTGCGGAAAAGACGTCAGCAGAGACGTTTCTTTTCACGTCGCGCCGGCCAAGCGGGACAAGGACGCCAAAAGGACAAAGAAAAGGTTGCCGTCGATGGCCGCCGGCACCTTTTTCCCTCCCCAAACACGACAAAACAAGCCAACCGCAGCGCGCCCAGTGCCATTCAGGGTGTGTGTGTGTGTGTGTGTGTGTGTGTGTGTGTGTGTGTTGGGGGGGGGGGCGTCCGCCACAAAGAGCCGAGGGGACGCGGTGGTGGGTCGGGGGCAGGTATCGGGACACCGCGGGCCGGGCGGGCTCAATGCGAGGCGGCGAGCACAAAGGCCACAATGGGCGCGCGAAGGTGTCGACCAAAGACGACGCAAGACGCGTCGGCCGCCCATTGCCATTGTCGCCGCTGGCCGCTAATGACGCTCGCCCAGGAAGCGCCTTCATTAGAGCCGCCGCGCCCGCGACACCCTCGCGCCGGGACCGGGGCGGCGTCGCATCACATTGTTCCGCTCGACACTTGAAAAAAACACACACGCA